TGTCTCCGTGGAGCCATATACCACTAGTACTTCTCTACCTCTATTGTTTCCACTGATTGACCCGTCTCAGACACAGTTACCGCCTAACTCCCCATTGCCCGTTCCTTCTCGTTATACTCCGTTGACAGACTCCTTGGCTAAGCGTCGAGAGCCTGCGCCTCGTCCTTCCTCATACTGCTCGTGCTCGCCGTGTTCACCCTCCACCTGTCCTCGGCACTCACACCATGACAATTCGTCCTTCCTCTGTTCCACGGCGTGTTGTCCTGCTTTTACCTCCCTCATCCTCTCTCCTTGGCGTTCCTAACCCTGAGTCTGACCTTGCTCGTGCTGCCAGTCCGACTGTTACTCGTTGTCTTGGCACTCTTGTGTAGGACCCTACTTTTGAGTCTGCTCCTTCGTCTACCCGAGTCACTGAGCTCGTTGAATTTGCTCCTACCTGCCGCCTTGACTACTCCGCGAGTCTTGTTTCTAACTTTGACTGTACTCTGTCTGTCGAGAGTGAGCTTACCCTTGGCTGTAACGTCCTTGAGGACAGACAGTTTGAGCTGGAGTGCCTCGGGGTTGCTGTACCTCATCTCGCTGCCATGCTGCTTGCCCATGAGGGAGACCCGTAAGCACTGGACATCCCGACCCCGCGCTTTTACGCCGAGACGATAACGGGTAAGTATTCGTCTCAGTGGCAGACATCCATGGACGTAGAGATGTCATTTTGGGAGTCCATAGGCACCTATGTCGACGCAGTTCCCCCTCCTGGGGCGAACATTTTCGATGGCATGTGGATTTTCATGATGAATCGGCCGCTGGGTTCCCCGCCTGTCTTCCAGGCGTGTTACGTTGCACGAGGCTTCAGCCAGCGGCAGGGTCGACTTCTTCCAAACCTTCTCCCCCACCCCGAAGATGACCACTCTTCGGGTGTTACTGCACGTTGCAGCACAACGTGTCTACGAGCTGCACTCGCTCGATTTCTTGACAATTTTCTTGCAGGGCAAGCTCCACGAGGAGATCTAGTTGCGCCACCCACCTAGCTTCACTGGGTCGTTTCCTAAAGGTACCCAGTGGAGCCTCTGGCGGCCAGCCTACGGTCTCGGACAGGCGCCCCGTAAGTGGCACGACACACCGAGGATGACACTTGCGGCTCTTGGTTTTGCTTATTTGATTCTACACACCGTCGCTGTTTGTGCGCACCGACCCTTCTCTCCCGCAGCTCTGCATCCTCGTGTACGTCGACGACTTGGTCTTTGCGACTACTGATACAGATACACTGGCCCTAGTGAAGGCGGAGCTGCAGAAGAGACACACCTGGACTGACCTAGGTGAGCTGCGGAGCTGTCTTGGCTTGCTCATCATCTAGAGACAGAACATCGCGCACCATCACTTTGACTCAGTCACGCATGGTACTGCAGGTCCTTCAGTGCTTCCGCTTTCAGTTCTCCTCTCCAAACTCGACTCCTCCGCCTACGGGCTACTCGCTCTCAGCTCCACCTTCGGCCGAGTCCGTAGAGCCGAGTGGCTCGTATTCAGAGCTTGTGGGTTGCCTCATATACTTGATGACGTGCACTCGGCCGGACCTAGCATACCCTCTCAACATCCTAATGCGCTCCATCGCGCCCGGGAGACACCGCTCTGAGCACTGGCGGGCTGCTACGAGGGTACTGCGCTACTTGGCTAGTATACCAGGCATGGGCTTTGTGCTTGGGGGACGGGGTTCCGTTGTGGTCACTGGGCACTCAAACGCTTCGTGTGCCAACGACCAGGGGACCCACAGGTCTTCACAAGGCTACACTTTCAGTCTCGAAACTGGCTCTTTCTTGTGGAGGTCCACTTGCTCATCTTCTGTGGATAGCTCTAGCTTTGAGGCTGAGATCTAGGCTGGGGCTATGGCTGCACGGGAGTTACGCTGGCTGACCTACTTGCTGACCAACTTGGGTGAGCGACCTCATTGTCCTCCAGTTCTGTATATCGGCAACAAGGATATGATTGCCTTGTGTCGAAAGCTGAGTCTGGAGCATAGAACGAAGCACATTGCTATTTGTTACTTTCTCGTGCGAGAGTTAGAGCAGCGTGGTCAGCTTCGCCTTTCTTACGTGGCTTCAGAGGCCAACACTGCTGACATATTCATCAAGGCCCTTGGGTGTGGTGCTCATCGGCGTTTGTGCACTGCGGTAGGCCTTGTACCTACTCTGCCTCACTTGCTTACCTCTTGACCTTGCCTTGTACTTTGATGTATAAATATATAGTCAAATATATACATGGATGTTTACTCTTACTATGTTGTGATATACTGCTTGTGCTTTTATAACACTTCAGGCATTCTGGGTGCTGGCTTGTGCTTGAACTGTGTGGTGATCTTGAGATCCACCCTCAGCTTTGTTTTGTTTCTTCTTTTGACCGGTCTTGTGACCGTTTGTTGTTCTTGCTATCCCCCACTTAGCCTACGGGGGTGTGCCAAAACTGTAATGGGGCTAGCTTTATGTGGTACAATAGTCTTGGGTTTGCTACTTGAACTCCCATCTTGTCAGTTCAATTCATTCTCGTTGCATATCATCTTAACACACATGAGGACGTGTCACTCGTTACCTACGGCCATGTTCGGCAGCAAACGATATCAGCAAAGCGTTATGATATCTACACTGTAAAATTTTGCAGACGACGCGAGAGCCATGCTGGTTTCACCAGGTAACCTACTTGGTCTAATCTCAATTCTTGTTTTTACATCCTACATATGCATTTTTCTGAAGGTTGTCACACTTTGATAAAAAAAATGTATATTGGAAGCAAAGCTGTTTGTGATGTAGAAATGGGCAGTGTCAAACCGCTCGTTGTGGAGTGCAAAACGTGGGCTGGATGTCATTTCTCTCCAACCAGGTCTATCAATTTCAAACGGTATAGCCAGTTTTCCTGCACACACACACCCCTTCGAAACTCGACAGCCGTAGTAATGTCTTAGCGTATTAGTCTGATAGAATTGTATGGATTTTTACTGTTCTAAACCTATTTGAAATGAGACAATACCATTGCTATACGAAAGAAAGCAAGCTTTCTAAATGGTCAAATATTGACCTACTAGAAATAACCCCTGCGGCTCGAACATTCGAAATCAATTTACTAAGGAAATGGTGAAAAATCGATTACAAATGGCAAGCTTTGGGATTTGCGCCAGATGCACCGCGCCCTTACGATTGTATTTTAGTAATTGCTGCACAATTTTATTATAGCTAGAGTGCATCTTACTTTAGGTGATGCACCTCAATTGCCCTTGGTTGTACTTCAGTTCTTCTCTCTATAGTCAAACCCTCTTTTTTGCCACTTCCTTCCCTTCGATTCTCCTGAACCTAGCTTTTGCTGGAGCCATATTTAACAAGTTATCAGATCTTAAGATCCCTTGGCCTCCTCCTCTCATGCCCCCCCCCCCTCCCCACTCCCCCCCCCCTCCTCTGAAGGGAAAAATGTAGGTGGGGTTGTTTTGCCCCCAACCCGGTGCTCATGATTCCATGAGTTGCATTTTTTTCGAATAATTGAAGGTTGACTTCTTCCGCACTCTCATCCCATGCTCCCCTCTCTCATCACGTGCTCCCCTCATTCATCCCATCCTTCCCTCTCTCATTCTATGCTCCCCTTTCATCACGTGCTCCCCTCTCTCATCCCATCCTTTCTCTATCATCCCTTCCTCCCCTTTCTTATCCCTTCCTCCCTTCTCTCATCCCTTTTTCCAGCATCTCATTCCTTCCTCCCTTCTTTCATCCCTTCCTCTCCTCTCTCATCCTGTCCTCCTCTCTCTCATCCCGTCCTCCCCTCTTTCATCCCTTCCTTCCCCCTCTCATCCCGTCCTCCCCTCTCTCATCCCATCCTCCCCTCTCTCATAGTTTTCTCCCCGAATCAGTCTCTCTTGTCACTATCCTCCATATATTGTCCCTCTTCTCCTCTAACATTCGCCTCCAAGGAGCGAGGACGCTCCTCATGTTCTCGCGGCATGGTAGATAACACTTAGCATAGCGCCCACGTTAGAAGCACCCAATATTCCACGTTTTGACTGCTTGACGTCATGCGACATGGAATAGAACATGTTACTTGCCATAGGATTCTGGTGTTGTAGATGGATATACGGTAATTGACCATCTCGATTGTTATGGCATTATGTGACAAACCAATGTTGCGAAATTTATGAAGCATGTTCCTTGAGCCTCTCATACAGTAGCTAAGGAATGCACAATATCTCCTTTCCAAGTTGATTAACCCCATCGCACGATGAGCGCATTGATTATGGCACACATGGTTTGCTTTCACTCTAAAACGCCTAGAACCACTGCACCATCTCAAATTGCCGGCACCCCACAAATCATCACCATTACTTCCGCCTCGACCACAACACAACCCCCCCCCCCCCCCCCCCCCCCCATTACCGCGCGGAATGGGTAGGAAAGGGTTGGGTGGTAATGCTCTGCCATGCCACACATTCCACTGTATACACTCTGCCTCCCTCCCCCAGCCACCCCTTTCTCTGCTGGCCCACCCATTGCTGCCCGTCCCTCTGTTGCCCCTCCCTTGAAAGGCCCTCCGCCCCCCCCCCCCCCTCCATCCCCTCCCTCCAAGAGAGGGGAAATATGACGTAAACTGGAGAGAGGATAGAAGAAGGAGAGCGGATAGGGAGGGGCGATATGACAGGAAGAGGAGAGGGAGATAGGGAAGGAAAAGGAGGTCGAAGTGAGAGGGAGAAATGATAGGGGGGGTGAAATGACAAGGAGAGGAGAATTGATAAGGAGGGAGAAATGACAGGGAACGGGGAAAGGACAGGGAGGGGACAAATAACATGGGGGGAGAAATAACAAGGGGGGAAGAAATGATAGGTAGGGGAGAAATGACAGGAAGGGAGAAATGACAAGGAGGGGAGAAATGACAGGGTGGGAGAAATGACAGGGAGCGGAGAAATGACAGGGAGGGGAGAAACGTCAAGGAGGGGAGAAATGATAGGGAGAGGAGAAATGACAAGTAGGCGAGAAATGTCAAGGAGGGGAATAATAATGAGGGGAGAAATGACAGAAGAGAGGGGTTTGAAAGATTAGAGGAAGGGATGACTGAGAGGGCAGGGAGTGGAGTAATGGAAGATAGGGATAGAGGGAAGGGGAGGAAGAGATGGCACGGAGTGGGGAGAGGGAGAGGGAGGAGAGAGGACAGGGAGTGGAGAGAAGGCAGGGAGGGGAGAGAGTGGGGATAACTTAGGGCAAAGAGGGGTGAGGGGAGATACGACTAAGAGAGGGGAGAGGACAGAGAACCGGCGTTGAATAAAGAGGGGGAATAGGACACCAAAGCATGCTATAATAGTGAGGGAGATAATCCGTGAGAGGGGAGGGGACAGGTGCGAGAAATAAGAGTGAGGGGGGTGAGAGGACAGAGAGAATTAGAGGGCAGGATGGGGAAACAATGTAGGCTAGGAAGATTTGGCTGGGTGGGGAGAAAGAGAATGATGGAAAGACAGAGCTGAGATGAAAGAAAGGGAAGGGTGAGGAGAGAGGGTAGGGAGGGGAGACAAGGAAAGATGGGGAGAGAGGGTAGGGAGGGGAGAAAGGGGAAGGATGAGGAGAGAGAGAAGGGATGGGGAAGGTTGCATGGGGGAGGGGAGAGGCGCCACGATGGCGAGGGGAGAGGCACTACGATGATTAGAGGGGAGGCGCTTTGTCGACAAGGAGGGCGATGCGACATCAAGGGGAGTGGCACGGCGAGGCGCTGTTCTGACAAGTTATGTGGGAGTTCGATCGACGTGAAATACACTAGTGGTGCGCGGGGTAGTGTGTTGCCAGTGAGTGTTTTCTGCTGCTTGCGTATGCGGCTTTCTACTCTCCCTTTTCTGATTTTGCTGGCACTACGCAGGAATTGTGTGAAAAAACAGTACAATTTGTCCAAAAAGCAAGTTGCGGCGATCGGCGTACGTTGTGTAGTGTCAAACCTTTTGATCATGACAGTGCAATAAGCGTGCTCTCTAAATCTAAAGCTACTAAGTACACATTAGAGGCATGGGGAAGAAGTGGTATGGATGTTGAGTTTGACTCTCGTCTCTCTGTTTTGGTTCACAAAGCAGGCCGTGGTCCCCCCAAGTTTCCCAAATCCCAATTATCTTCCCGCACTACTACATGGAAATACTGTGAAAATAGAAACTAGGAATGATTGCATTGAGCAGCATGAGGAGTACAAGTAGGAAACCCTAAAGTGTTGTACCCCATATGAACTACCCCACTACAGCCTACACAAAATATAGCATATAAGTTTGACACACCCCCATAGGCAAAGTGGGGGAAAACAAGAGGTCACAAGACCAGTCAAGAGAAGCAAAGCAAGCTCAGGGTGGATCACGAAGTCACCACGCATTCTGAGCACAAGCAAATGGCCACAAGGCCAGTTCACATGCGGAGATATATAGAGGCAAACAAACAATACAGTGATCACAACCTAGCAAGAGTAAGCATGCAGGTATATGTATAAAGATCACAGTACAAGCAAAGTCAAGAAAATCAGCAAGTGAGGCCCAGTGGGCACAAGGCCTAGAACATACCGAAACGCTGATGATCACAAGGCTGAAGTGCCTTGGTGAACACATCAGCAGTGTTGGGCCGAGTGGCCATGTAGGCAAGACGAAGCTGACCACGCTGCTGCAACTCTCGAGCAAGGATTCAGCGCAGGGCGATGTGCTTCGTCCTGTGCTCCTGTCTGTGCTCCTGACACAAGGCAATCATGGCCTTGTTGTTCACGTACAGCACTGGAGGAGAACGAGGCGGCTCTCCCAGGTCGGTCAGCAGGTGGGTGAGTCAGCGTAACTCCTGTGCAGCCATGGCCCCTGCGTGGATCTCAGCCTCACAGCTGGAGCTGAGAACAGAAGACGAGCGGGTAGACCGCCAAGAAACAGAGCCGGAGCCAAGGCTGAAAGTGTAACCCTGTGACGACCGCTGCGTAGCCAAGTCGTCAGCCCAGGAAGCGTGAGCGTGACCAGTGAGGACAACTCGAGCCCGTCCTCCAAGCACGAGCCCCATGCCCGACGTACTGCACAAGTAGCGCAACACCCTCTTCGCGGCATCCATGTGCTCCTTCCTGTGTCTCCCAGGAGCAACATAGCGTGCGAAGATGCTAAGAGGGTATGCCAGGTCAGGTCGAGTGCAGGTCATCAGGTACATGAGGCAGCCCACAAGCTCTGGATACGGGCCACTTGGCTCTACGGACTCATCCGAAGGCAGAGCTGAGAGCAAGTGGCGAGTAGGCCGAGGAGTGGGCTGTGGCGAGGAGTACGTGAAGCCGAAGCGCTGAAGAACCTGCTGCACCATTTGTGACTGAGTCAAAGTAATGGTGCTGTGCTCTGTCCCGGGTGATCCGCAAGCCAAGATAGCTGCGCAGCTCACCGAGGTCTGTGCACGTGTGTCTCTTCTGCAGCTCCGACTTCATGTGGGCGAGTCCCTCAGTGTCAGAAGTAGCAAGGACCAAGTCGTCGACGTGCACGAGGACGTAGAACGGCGGAAGAGAGGTGCCGGTGCGTAGAAAAAGCGACGGGTCAGCAGTGGAAGGAGTAAAGCTAAGAGCCGCAAGGGTCGTCCTCAGTGTGTCGTGCCACTCACGGGGCGCCTGGCGGAGACCGTAGACTGGCCGCCGGAGGCTCCACTGGGTACCAGCAGGGAACGACCCAGTGAAGCCAGGTGGGTGGCGTAGCCAGATCTCCTCATGCAGGCTGCCTTGTAGGAAAGCAGTGCTGAAGTCAAGAGAGTGCAGCTCGTAGTCACGCTGAGCAGCTACGTGTAGCAGCACCCGAAGAGTGGTCATCTTCGGGGTGGGGGAGAAGGTTTGGAAGAAGTCAACTCCCTCTCGCTGACTGAAGCCTCGTGCAACGTAACGCGCCTTGAAGACAGGTGGAGAACCCGACGGCCGCTTCACCCTGAAAATCCACATGCCACTGACGATGTTCGCTCCAGAAGGGGGAACCTTGTCGACGTAGGTGCCTGTGGACTTCCAGGAAGCCATCTCGGCGTCCATGGCTGTCTGCCACTGAGAGGAGTAGGGACCTTCTGTCGCCTCTGCGTAAGAGCGCGGGGTCGGGATGTCTGGTGCATCCGGGTCTCCTTCAGGGGCAATCAGCATGGACATGAGATGAGGTAAAGCAACGGCAAAGCACTCAAACTCCTCCTGCCTGTCCTCAAGGGCGTCCGTGCCAAGAGCGCACTCACCCACGACGGATGGAGGACAGACAGATTCAGACTCAGACTCAGCAACAAGGCTAGCAGCGTAGTCTAGACGACATGCGGCAGCAAAGTAAACAAGCTCAGCAACTAGGGCAGACGCAGCAGTGGACTCAAACGACGGGTCAGTGACAACAGTGGCCAGTAGACGCGTGACAGTAGGACTAGCAGCACGAAGGGAGTCAGACTCCGGGTCAGGACCGTCAGCAAGGGAGGACGCAGGAGGAGTCGGCAGAGGGACACGCAGCGGAGCAGTGGAAGGACGAAGCGCCATTCGGTGCATGCCCGGGACAGGAGGAGGACGCGGATACGGAAAACAACTACCAGTGCGACTAGCACAAATAGGCGACGCAGGACGAGACTCGAGCGACCCAGGACGAGACTCAGGCAATGCACGACGAGGCTCAAGCTCACGACGCTCCGTAAGACCTCTAGTCGGCCCAAAGTAAGGAGAAGGACCAGGCAGTGGAGAGGCTGGCTGTAGCTGCGACTGCGACGGGGCAGGCTGTGGAGACAGTAAGGGAGGAGTGGGACCAGTAGAAAGTGGGAGGTCAAGAACCTGCTGAAGAAGTGGAACGAAGTGCCTCCAGAACCAGCAGAGACAGTACCAGGACCCCCAGCTCTAGGGTCTTCAGCTCCAACCCCCGCAGCACCACCAGCTCCAGCACCTCCAGCAGCTCTAGCTCCAGTAGCACCTTCAGTAGCAACAACACTAGCGTCTCTAGCTCCAACTCCGAGAGCACCTCCAGCCCCAGCAGCTCTAGTACCTCCAGTACGAGCACCTCCGGGACCAGCGACTCCAGCTCCTCCAGCAGCTCCAGCACCAGCAGTACCTCCAGCAGCTCCAGCTCCAATAGCACCTGCACCAGCAGCACCTCGCTGGCGTCTCTAGCGGCGAGCAAACCACTCACGCAGCTGCGGTGGAGAGAGAGGCTCCCGCTGATACGAGGCACCTGCAAGAACTCCAGCAGACTCAGCACCCCCAGTCTCAGCAACCGTAGACTCAGCACCTCGAAGCTCAGCACCCCCAGGCTCAGCACCCCCAGGCTCCGCACCCTCAGACACAGCAGCCCCAGGCTCAGCACCCCCAGGCGCCGCACGCTCAGGCTCAGCACTTCCAGCAGCACCACCCCCAGTAGCAGCACCAGAGTCAACCGCTACCTCAACAGGCTCGACATCGTCTACCTGGGACACACCTGAGGGAGCAGGACCTTGAGGGGGGAGGGGGTCTATCGGAGGAGGACCTGGTGCAAAGAAGAGCGGCTGGGGGGGGGGAGAGAGGTAGTGCGGTAGGGGAAGAGATGGTAAAAGGGAGCCGACTCGTCGAACGTGACATCCTGAGAGGGCAGGACACGTCGCGAGGTGGGGTGGTAAAACTGCCAGCCAGGCGCGTCAGGGACAAAGCTAAGGAAGACGCAAGCTATAGTGCGAGCGGAGAGCTTGTCTGCGGTAGTATCGCGGACAAAGGCACGAGAACCCCAGACCCGAAACACTGACGCATCGCCAACTTTCCCCGTCCAACGCAGTGTGGGCGAGGTCTCCGGCAAGGAGACACGGGGCCAGAGGCTGAGTTGATGCGCAGCGTAACGGACCGCAAACGGCCACAGAAAATGGGGGGCAGCCGCATGGACCATGGAGGTACGAGCGACCTCCATGACTAATCCAATGCGGCGCTCAGCAATCCCATTCTGTTGCGGTGAGGCCGGGAGCGTGAACGTCTGACGAATGCCCTTCCAACGACAATAGTCCCGCAGGAAGTCAGAGGCAAACTCACCACCTCTGTCAGAGTGCAGTCGCAGGACGGAAAAGTCCGTCCCAAACTGCTCGCGGAGCTGGAGACGGGCAGCGCGGATCCAAGGGATCAAAACATCAGGGACCTCACCCTTGGTGCGCAAGGGGAAGACCGTGGTGTAACGCGTGTAGTCGTCAACAACCAGCAAAAAGTACCGCTCGCGGTCCTGTCCACGGACGCGGGCTGGGCCCCACACATCCATGTGTAGGGTCTGCAGGGGAGCAGTCATCGGGGGAAACGAGGAGGAGTGAGGAGCGCCGCGCTGCCGCCCCTCGACACGAGGAAGACAGGGAGGAGCAGGCGAGGGAGGAAGGGGAGGGAGAACCCTGGGAAGACTAGAGACAAGGACACGGCGGTGCATGCCACGAAGGCGCTGCACCGAGGGGTGACCAAGACGGTGGTGCCAGAGGACGGTCTGGTGTGACAAAGCGCGACACGAGCAGGGGGCCGCTAGCTGACCTGACGCAAACGCAGACGCAGACGCAGCTACCTGAGGGGACACAGTAGTTAGTGTGTACAGACTCGAGCCAGGTGCTTGGGTGAACGTGGCCAGGTGCCGACTAGTCCGGGAGCATGTACAGTGGGTCACGCGCTGACCTCCAGGAGTGAACTGATCAACCCACTCATCCTGGAGGGCAGCTCCACTCACCAAGTTTGTAGAGAACGAGGGGAGGTGAAGACCCAACAGTGAGCCA